AGAATTCTGATTCAAATCCAGCCCGTCTAGCTCAGAACATACTCTCTTAGCCACTACTATACAATGCTGGCACTTAGACAAACAAACACAGTTGTTTCCAAGGTTTTTATTCAGTACGAGGCAGTGGTAGTGCTTACTAGATACATGGCCTTGAGAGAATTACTAAGCCTCTCTAAGCCTCAGTTTCCTCTTGTAGAAAATGAGAGTAAGAATAACACTGAGCTCACGGGGTTAGTGTGATGATTACATTAGATAATGCATGTAAAGTACTTAGCACAGTGCCAGGCATGTAGTAAATACTAGATAAAAGCTAGATGCTGCTGCTGCTACTTGGTAGTTGGGTTTCTACCGTTAGGAGCATCTTGGGTTACTCCCCAGTCTGCGTGCTCATTGCCTCTCTCTATAAGAACGGTGGACAGGAGCCACTAATTTTTTTATAACTTTATTTAGATATAATTCATATACCAATACCATTCACCCATTTGAAGTGTACAAGTCAATTGTTTTTAGAATATTCACGAGTTGTACAACCATCATCATACTCAATTTTAAAACCAATTTAGAATTTAGAACCAATTTAGAACCAAACAAAGAATCAATTCTAGGGGATTTTCATCACCCAAAAATGAAACCCTGCATCCATTAGCAATCACTCTCCACCTCCCCCAAGCTCTCTCCCCGTAGCCCCTGGCAACTACTAATCTATTTTTCTCCACATTCTGGACATTTCATATCAGTGGAATCTTGTAATATATGGTCCTCTGTGACTGCCTTCTTTTACTTCGCATAATGTTTTCAAGATTCATCCAGGCTTAGCACATATCAATACGTCTTTTCTTTTTACCTCCAAATAACATTCCATTATATGGATAGACCACATTTTATTTATCCATTCATTAGTTGATGAATATTTGGGTTGTTTCTACATTTTGGCTATTATGAATAACGCTGCTACGAACATGGGTGTACAAGTTTTTGTGTGAACATATGTTTTCATTTCTCTTGGGTATATACTTAGAAATCTATGTTTAACCTTCTGACGAACTGCCAGACTGATTTCCAAAGTGAATAACCACTAGTCTTGCCCTTGCTTCTAGGTGACGTGGAACAAGTCACTTCACCTCACTAAGCCTCAGTTTCCTCATCTGCAAAATTAGGGTACTATCTACCAGAAAAGATGCTGTAAGTACAGTGCCATCACTGCCTGACACCTGGCAGGAGCTTAACAAAGGTCGAGTACTCTGCTGTCCCTGCCAAATGGTCCCCTGCCTGTTCTTCCCTCTCAAGTCTGGAAGGCCTGTGCCACGGGAGGCTTGAGTGCAGCCTGAGGGAGATGTTGGGTGGAGAAAATCAGAGAATAAAGTCATACCACCTTTCTGGATCATGTCACAGTCTCTAAAATAAAGAAAAAATAAACAAACAACTCTCAATTCAAGTATGTGTATGTCCCTTCTGCTTCTATAAACTGGACTTTTGCCCAAAAACTGCAACAAGTAAAGAAGAAATCAATAATCCAAGTTTTATATGCTAATGTAATTTGGTGAAAAATGTACTACAACAAGCTGGCATAGAACAACATTCTCTCCATTGCCAGAGTTTCTTTCAGGCCACATCTGCAGAAGGACCTCCAAAATCAAGATTCAGCAAAACTGTTGCCCACGTGGGCCTAAGCAGAGCAAAGAAGTGTGAGTCCCCAGTCCCCTCATGCTGAAGGCCTGATTAGCATTTCTGTTTCTGGAATAAAAGACTGACAGGCCATCAGTCCCAAATAACAATAATAGAGCTCAGCTAAAAGAAACTGTTTGGTTCTATGGGGAGTTATTGTTATTCAGGGTAAAAAAATATCCCTTGGGCAGATTCTCTTCACTGCAGAAGTTGGTTTCAGAGTTACTTTGCAAAACCTGGGGGGAGAAAAAAGAAAAAGAAAACCAGAAAAAGTTGTGCATGCAATATTGCACATTGTGAGGAATATTTTTGCTTTGGGGACAATAGCAAAAATTTGGAAAGACCTTTCCTAGCATATGGAAAAATAGAAGGATTTCTATTTTTAGCTGCAAAGATAGTAATAGGACAGACTGGAAGAGTCAAGGCAATCGAGGCTGCCCCATGACTGCTGGCTCCCCCTGAGTGTAGAGGTCACGCTGGAGATGAAGCCACTGTCCCAGGCTTTCTTCCCTGGGTTCCAGCTTCTGTCTCCCTCTGCAGTAATGCTAATTACAGAGTAAGAGAAACCAATCTTTTCTCTTTCTAAAGACATTAATCAAACCTATCAAAGAAGCACAAAAAAAAAAGAAAAACACTTTCAACTGGGGATTGCAATGACAGGTCTAAGAGAAAAAAATACAGGATTTGCTTACTAACATGGGAAAGTTAAGAGAAAACATAATAATTAAGTGAGCAAAAGCCACTTAGGATGTTCTTTATGCATTTTATACATTAAAAACATGTAAACTGAGTATTACAGCCTACTTCTAAGCACCCAGTTGTCACTGAGTAAAAATACAGGCCAGATAAATACCCTGACAGCTCCCAGATGTAATATTACTTGTTTGGAGGCTGAATTTTATATAAAGCAGGCATGGCATAGAGCCCTTCTGTTACTACAGTACTAAAATGACCTCATTAGAGGAGTCATGCCTGAGAGGCCTGGACTCCAGCAAACACTGCCAGCAGGGACGGGGGGAAGGAGATGGAGTATCTGATCTTGAAGCCAGAGAATAAGTTCAGTGGCCTTATTGAGTGAAACGCGGGTATGGTTGGGGGTGAACGTTTTCCTGCAGTATTGCCGCTCTGGATCAGAAGAAAATAACGCAAAATTCAGTCGTCTAAAATGCTCTCTATAGCCTCCAGGGCTTTGCTTAGGCTGTTCCCTCTGCCCTAGCCCAGGCTAGCCCACTCATCTTGTGGTCTCTCCACAGAGCCCACTTTGTGTAGCCCGTGTTCCCCAGCTCCCAAGGCCGAGTTACATGACCCCGTATGCTTGTGCAGCACCCTGTAATCACCTCCTCATAGGAACTATTTACTTCTTCATCTCCCCCACTAGACTGGAAGTTCCTAGAAGAAACAGAAAAGGCATATCTTGTTCACCTGCGGCACATACGGGGGCTCAATAACTGTGCTGACTTCGTTGAAGTCTCCAGCTGCATGGGAGAAATGGAGCATCTGAACCCAGGAGTGGGGCAAACCGTGAAACAGCCCACCAGCCGAGGTGAACCAGGTCAAGCGCTGGGGCAGGGGCCCTAGAGGGGCAGTGCTGGAGAAAAATGTCTCAAGCACAAGATTTCTCCCCTTGCCAGTCAATGCCCATTGGAGCTTCCTTTTCAGAACCCGTGGCTTCTTCTTACTCAGTGTGAGAGCAGACAAGCCTCTTAGCTATCACATTTAAAAAGTCAAAAGCCCTTTGCAACTGGAAGGTATTGTTATTAAATGAACATCATAGATCCTGAATACAGATTAGTAGAAGAACAGAGGCAGACAGACCTGAGTTCAAATCCTGACTTAGCAACCAGCTAGCAAAGAGGTAAATCACTTAATCCCTCTACACCTGTTTTCTTATCTGCACAATAGTGATAACAGCTGTACTGTGGAGTCATTATGATGATTAGATTAAGCAATGAAAGCAAATATTTGGCACTCTATTGAGTGATATTTGTTAGTGATGGATGTGTGTGACGATGTGTTTCAGCAACATTTAGAGGTCTGATTCCCCAATATTTACCTAATTTGTTCCTGTTATGTCAAGCACTATAAAGATAAACAAGCTACAAGCTACATTTCCTGCCCTCAGGGAGGTCATAGTGCACTGAATTCAACAGACCCAGGACCAGCGGCTGCAGCACAGAGAGGTTAAGACACCTGCCCAAGGCTCCCCTGTGGCAGAAGGGGGACGGAAATACAAGTCTAGTAGTTCCCAGACACTGCTCTTTTCCAGAGCTCACATTTCATGAGAATGGGGGAAAGGACATTTAACTGCTGTGCCTCCCCCCAGTAGAAGGTAAGTAAAAGAAAAAACCAGTCATCAGATAGTGTCTTAGTCCACTTGGGCTGCTATAACAAAATACCATAGCGTGGCTGGCTTATGAACAACAGAAATTTCTCTCTCACATTTCCAGAGGTTGGGAAGTCCCAGATCAAGGCACCAGAAGATTCAGAGTCTAGTGAGGACACCTTTCTGATTCATGGACGGCCATCTTTTCACTGTGTCCTCACGTGGTGGGCGGGGCTAGGAGTCTCTCTTAGGCCTCTTTTAGAAGGGCTCTAATCCTCCACACTCGTGACCTAACCACCTCCCAGAGGCCCACCTCCTAATACCATCACCTTGGGGGTTAGGATTCAACATATGAATTTTGTGGGGACACACATATTCAGTCCATAGCAGATGGTAAATAGAGTGTTTCCTAGTAAGGATGCATTAAGAGTTATTACCAGAAAAAAAGAGAAAAAAAGGGAAAAATAAGTTTAAGAGTTTTATTTAACAGTGTTGCCTCATGGGTCACCCAGAGCAGAAAATCTGGATCAATGAAGACCAAGGAGCTATTTTTCAGTAGTAGCAAGAAACGCAGACAAACTTCCATTTTTTCCCTGCATCTCAATGACTCCTCTTTCAAAAAAAAAAAAAAGCTGCCTGTTATAAAAACTTTTCCACATCCTGATAGGGAAAAAATTATGTGTGAAAGAAACAAAATCATTTGTTAACATTTTACCTCCCACTTTAACCTGCAACCCACTCGAAAGACTAGACCCCGTTAGGCAGAGGGTGCTCTGTTTAGCGAGTAGGGTAGAGGTGTTTGGATATGGCTTGAGGGCAATAAATTACTCTGCATAAGAAAGGAAGAGCTATTGCGAGGTGCCTAGAGGAAAGTTCCCAACCTAAAATCCTCTTGATAAATACACATTGAGCGGCTGTCTACTCTGTATTAGGCATTGACTAGATGGTGTTCACACACACTCCTTCACTATAGGTCACAATACACTGTAAGTCACAAACTAGACATCATTGCTGTGTTTTGTTTTTTAATGAGGAAGCAGGCTTGGGAGGAGAAATGATTTCCTGAAGGTGAAACCATCACCTGTGACGGCAATGGTGGAAATTAGTTTATATGAAGTTTATGCTTTTTAGGGTGACAAAAGGCTGAGCACAGAGGTGGGCAGAAACAGTGAAAGAGACCAATATGCTTTGATGAAGAACGGGGAGGGAGTGGGAGGAGGTCTCAGAGGATTGCTGAGATGGCAGGGCTGTGAAGTTAGGAACGCCGGGCATCCGGGGAACTGTGTAAGGACAGGAATATGAGTTGGAAAAGGGCCCAGCAGAGAAAGAGGGGAGCCTTCTGAGGGGGTAACAGGGCGGAGGAGAAGTCTAGGCCTTCGTCAGAATTTTACCAAAGGCCAAATTTGGGTGAAGTAGAGCCTGACTGGACTCAGAGGACATGTTTTCTTCCCCACTCAACAACACGTTGCTAGCTGACCTTAGTTGGACAAATCACCGAATCTCCCCAAGTCATACCATTTTCTCACCTGCAAAATGGGCAATTTTTGCTTCACAGCAATGATGAATTAACATCATTGAAAGCGACTTGAAAACTGCAGGGACCCTGGGAGCATGGGCTGTAGGAAAGCTTCCCAATTGTTTCTCAACCACCGCCTCTGCTGTCTGAGGCCGCACCCTCTTAAAGAGACATGATCTATATCTCGGCCTTCGTTTGCTCAGGGTCCAGTTATGTCGTCTCCATGTTGAGAATCCTTTCAGCATTGTACTTGACCACATTTATTTCCTTTCCTAAATAAGAGAGATGCCAGGTAGAGAGGAGATCTAGCTCTTACTCTATAGAACTAATTGTCAAGCAAGCTGTTCTAGCCCTGGTTGTGTGAAGTCATTGTTCCTTTTGATTGAGTTTCCTTATCCTTAAATGAGAGGGTTGGAACTGATGATCTCTAAGGTCCCTTCAGGCTCCAAAGCTCCATGGTCCTTTGGAGGACCCCTCCTGAGGCTGTCCCGCCAGCCCAGTGTTCCAGCACTTTCTATTGCCCACTTAGCAGCATTTATCCAACTTTTTTGTCAGGTATGTGCTTCTATTCCAGGCATTCTGAGCCAATTCTGCAAATCAGACTTCTTGGAAGATTCAAATGTTTTCACAATCTTCAAACCTGTGACATCAAATGTGCCATTTTCCCTTCATCACCAACTTTGTACTTTTATCAAAAAAAAAAAAAAAGAAGAAGTACTGAGTCCATCTGGCATGATTTGCTTTGAATAAAAGCCCATCTGCTTATTATTTCTAATTTCATTGTCCTCTAGAACGTTTACAGAGGTTTCTTTCAATATTTATTGCACTGTGTTTCTAATTACTGATCTGGACCATCAACGCAGACTTGGTGGGGTACTGCGCTAGAATGTAGGTGACTTTCTCTTTTTCATCTCCACAATTCTTTCCTCTGGAGGCACACTGTGGCCCTCGGCCATCATTACAGAGCCCTGGTGTGATGCTGCAGAGGCGGATTCTGACAATCAGCCCCTTTATAGTGAGTCTCCCTGGGGACTTGGGAAGCCGCCTCTGAAGAATTTTTGCCTGCCTTGACACCATTATTGTCACAGGAAGGATTGAGATAATTACCTGGTTTATTATCCTGAGGCTGGCTTCATCTGAAGGCCCCATGATCACTGCAAACAGAAGGCTCATCTTTATCTTCAGGAGTCCTGAACAGACGGGTACAAGATTCACATTTCCCAAATTATGGTGTCTCTGAAAGGCAAGAGATGATATCTGCAATGGAAACATTGCCAACCTGATCCTTTGCAAAATATCCCCCAAAATCCAAAATGCTAAAACTGTTTAAAATTAACCTCTTTTTCTCCCCAAAGGAGTTCCCATTGCTGATCTCCCCTGTTATGTTGTCTTACTTTTCTTATCTCACGGCACTCTCTGTCACTCCTCACAATCCAGCAAGTCCCGTTACTCCTTCCTTGTAGCATCTTCATGCCTTTCCCATCTGTCCCTGGCTTCCCAGTCCCCCTCCATTGTCTAATTTCAGCCCCAGATCACATTGTCTCTATTCCTGTAGTACCTCCTATCTCTCAGTCGCTCCCCCACCCCACCAACCATGCACATGTCTCCAGAATAGTCCATGTAAAGTGTGTATTGATTTTATCACTCTCCAAGTCAACAATGCTCTAAGAGTGCCTTTTGCTTTCAGGATTAAGTCTCCATGCCCTGGCTGACTTGCAGGCTCTCCACTATCAGTGCCCTCAGCCCCCCCAGCCCGCTGTGCATCCCACTGCTGCCCCATGAACCCTCCTTCCAGCCACACAGAGAGTGCTCTGGGCTCTGCTCTCTCAGCTTTTGCACACACACTGACTTCCCAGGCATGTGAAAAAGCTGAAAAAGGAAAAAGACAGAATTTGAGGTGAATTCTTACTGCAGACACCTGGGACTTAAAAGTGAATTTTACACTACTTTTTTATGGGGAGTGTCACAATCCTCCTGATTTTGATACTCCACCAGATCTTGGGAAAATGTTTCCACTGTGTAGTCCACTAGACAGGCCACAGCGCTCCCTCAATGATTCAGAAGGAAGTTCGACCAAAAAATGAAAAAGAAAGAAAGAAAGGAACAGGCATTCTGTAGGAAAGGCAGTGGATGTGAGTTTAAAAGATGGGCTTTGGAATCAAGTAGAACTGGATTCGATTGCAGCTCAGGGACTTACTAATGCTTTCACTTGGCAGGTGACTTAACCCTCCTGAGGTTGTTTCAATATCAGTGAAACAAGTGAATATCCACCTTGCAGGGTTGCTGTGAGAGTCAAGATCAACATGTGTAGAGTCTCAACACAGATCTTGGCACTTAGCTTCTCAATCATGACTGTATTACTCCACTGCCACCTCCTGCCCCAGCAAGTTCCATGCCCACCGCTCTCACAGGGCGAGTTCACTCTACCAGCGTCCCGTGGTACTGTCCAACCTTTCACCAGGACTGGAGGGTGCACCGGGAGCCTGCTGTCTGGCCAGCGATGACCGCTTTTCCTCCACAGATCACAGCTCTGCATATGCTCCCAATGAAACTTCCTCTCTGGCTGCAGCTCGGCTGCCCCAGCACCCAGGGGACCGCCAGGTAGGGATCCCTGCGTCTCCTCAGAGAGCAGTATCCCTTTGTCCTTCCTAGTGACCAGCTGCAGACCTGGGCTCCCAGAGAGTGAACAGCACGGGACCGTGATAGGTGCATGACAGGCAGGAGAGAGCGATGGTTGAGGCTGGTTAGCCCGAACGTGGGCTCTTGAGTGAGACTGCCTGGGACTGCCCCTGCCTGTGGCATTTCTTAGCTGGGTGATCTTGAGCCTGTTGCTTCACTTCTGTGTGGCTTCGTTTCCTCTTCTATAAAATGAAGACAATAATAGTACGTGCATCATGGGGTTGTTGTGAAGATTAAATGAGTCAATGCACACAAAGCACTTAGAATATTGCCTGGCACATAGTGGATGCTCCATAAATATTAATAGATAGAATTGATGAATGAAGTCCTCCATCTTCAAGGTCTCAGGCACCTTACAATCAGGCCGATTGAGATGGCTCCCTGTTTGCCCAGGGACTTCTTCAAAACACCCTGTTTTTGTCACAACCACCACATGCACATGTGTGATACACTCACACACACACACACAGACCCCTCAACAGTACCCCAAGGCAAGAGAAGACTAATTCGCTGGAACCTTCAATAATAAGCACCACACACCACCCTCTCCTGATGAAGCTAACTCAGTCCTTCGCAGTATCTTAGACGTGCTTCACTCAGGGGCCCGGCCTTCAGTTCTCCCGACTCCGCAAAGGAGAGGTCCGAGGTCAAATGGAATCTCCTGGTCTAATCCTTTGTTGAGAGGCCATAAAAATTGTCTGGTGTTATTTGGCCTAAAGTGTCTGAATTGTCTCTGTCACCTCAAATTACCAGATATTTCTCAACTTCACACTTTTCTTTGGCCTCTTTCACCCATAATGTCTACAAATCTGAATTCAACCTTTCAGGGAACACTTATTGAACATCACTTCTATGTCAGGCACTGTGCTGGGCACTGCAGATGTAAGGATGAATCAGAGGCAGACTTTAGCTTCCAGGTCACAGTCAAGAAGGGAAGACAGGCAACAGGACAGATCACTTCAATGCAGTATGATAAGAGCTAAGTCTGAGAAATGCACAGGGAGCTCAGCAAGAACAGAGAAGAAGCATCCAACCCAGAGAGGTAGATCAGGAAAGGCTGCTAGGAGGAGGTAACTCCAGAGATGGGTCTTGAAGGATGAGTAGTCAATAACGAAAGAATAGCATATTTAGGAAGCATAATATGGCGTGAAAAAATATAATGTGATTTTGTATCTATAGTCATTTGGCACCACTAGAGGGCACAGGGTAAGGAGGAGGGGTAGGAGATTAAACTGGGAAGATGAGCAAGTACCAGACCATGAGAGGACTAAAGGCTTTTTGATATTACTGTGGGACAAAGGAGCAAACACTGAAGGGTTCTAGCTGGGGAGTAACATGATAAAAGTTGGATTTGGGTAGAAGTGAGAGGGTTTTCTAGGGGAGAATAAGGGAATTATCTAGAAGCAGAGACCATTTAGTGATTATTTGTAATAATCCAAGTAAGAGACGGTAAGAACCTGAACTAAGGACCTGTTGGTAGGATTGAAAGGAGTGAGGACATTTCAGAACTATTTAGGAGGTTAGATCATCAGAATATGCGACTGGTTAGGAGGAGAAGGGAGATGAGACGAATGAGTCCCAGATTTCTGTCATGAATGAGAAGTCAAGCTTCAATTTATGCGTTAGAAATCCTAAGAGTATTGGGATTTATATAATACTTTTTCTGTGCGATATTACAGATATTCTTAATTTTAAGACAATGGTAAACAGAGATTTAATCTTACCAACTGGATACCAAAGAAAATACTTAATTTCTAGACCCTGAAGCCTCAAATGGACAAATTTTTCAAGTAGCAATAGATCTCGTACTCAACTGAAGCATCTGCTGCTGAAGTTCAGTCCCCTGGAAATGGCAACCCATACAAAGAATAGGACCAGATGGAAGGGGTGGGGGAGACATACGGAAGCAAAGATTCTTAGGTGCAGAGCAAATGTTTGCGGTCCAGACAGGAGGACTGTGATCGGGACAACTTTGGAGAGGTGATTTTAAGTGAGGCAACTGCAAAGGGAAAGTGAATTGCTGCGACTTGGGGGTGCTACTGCTAATGAGTCTCAATCCCAGAGCAACAAAGGACTACGCCTTGAGGTTGACCCCATTTGAAACTCTTGACCAAAATTTTCAATCACAAAACAGTTCAACATTAGTTCTCCTATCTTGGTCATTCTGGATCATTCAAGGTTCTTTTGTCAGGCTCTATTCACTGGAACCCGAAAAGTCCACATAAGAAAATGAAAGATGGGGGGATGGAAATGAGTTTTGGAGGGAAGGCAAATGTCGGGCCTTGGAACATGGTCTACATTTCTAGGCAATAGGGAGTTGCTGAAGACTTTAGAGCAGTACCATGATCAGATGAAAGGAAATTTTTAAGAATAGTCTGGCAGCCCTGTGCAAAATGGATTAACTTGACTGAAATCCACTCAAACACTAAAGTATTGCTGTCTTTCTAATAAGACCTTGCACTTTCCGCGTTAATTGCATCTTTAAACTCCGTTCCCTCAAAATGCCTTGGCAATATTGTTTCCTAAGGGTTCCCAGCTCTCCGTCTCAGTGATTTCCAATCAGAGGAGAAGCACAGCATTTGAAAATTAGTCGGCATTTCTTATTGGGGTTGTTGCTGTATTCATAAGTTGGGGGGGCATGGGGCGGGTAAACTAGCATTTAGTTCCATAAGGGTCAGTGACGCCCAATATCCTCAACACACTGGGACGTCCTGTACAACAAAGACTCGTCCTGCCCAAAATGCCAGCAGTGCCCCTGCTGAGAAGCATAGTATCTGATCTCTTTTGCTGCCCCGTCTTTGTCTTCTATAAATTTTCTTCTTCTGTTTGTCACCAGGCAACCCGCCAGTCCCCTGATTAGCAGGTTAAATGGTCACTCAACTGTCATCAAACTCCTCCTCCCTTTCAGGAGCAACTGGAGGCAAGCCAACGTCCATTACTGACCTAATTCCGCAGCACTTAAGATTTCCACAGGGCTTTGCAACGCCTGCTATTAGCTGATTCTTGTGTCGACACATGAATTGAGTTAGTTTTGTTATTAGTGGTTTGCAAGTAGAGAGAATCAAATACAAAAGACCTGGAAACCTGTTCATGTCTCTTACATTTAACCCATAGAGTCAGATTGTGAGAAGCTACTTTCAAAGTCACAATAATTCTTCCAAACCTCTAGGAAATTCACTTAGTAGGGTGCCATTTGTGACGAAGTTTTAATATAAACATCCCTTGCTTTTCAGAATTTAAATACTTTGGTGGCCTAGTTATGAAAAGTGGATCTCCCTCTCCACTGGTTTTCATTACATTATTGAAGATGTATTCATGTTTTTTTAAATCTCTTTAAAGAGCTGAATGCTTTGCCGCCATCTCTATGGACCTCTCTTTTGACGTCTGTTACATTTGACTTTGTATTATTGACCCTCTTGGCGGAATGTCGTATCTTGCTAATAGATTGAATGTGTTTTGAGGGCAAACTGTCCTTTTCTTTGTATTCCTCCAGACACAATGACAGAGCTTGGCCTATGGTAACGATTTAGTAAATATTTGCTGATGGATCGGCGCTCA